ATCCATAAAATTAGATATTATTAACTTGATTTTTGTTAGGGAAATTAAGACAATAATTTGTCACTGCTTTAGCAAAGGACATATAACCAATATAGGGTACACAAAAGAAGTGCTCGAACCGTTAAAGAGGTAGTAGTTAACTTTAGTATAAACACTAACTATTAGTCAAACTTTTTCGCATTCTTTTTTATCAGTCAAACTTATTGAATTACTGATAAGAAAAATGTTAACTTTCAGTTACCAATTTTATTAGTAATATTGACCTGACAACATGATATTAACTTGGAAGAAACACATGGAGGCGAACATTCCAAAATTTTAGTATTTTAACTAAAAAAGAGATACGGAAATTTTTTGGCAGTAATTAGTGTTTACCGGACCAGACCGGAATATGCTTAAATACATTCCATTTAGGATTAGGAATAGGCATGATTGGACCCGTTTTTTACATATATATCTCCTTATTTTATTTGGCTCCCTTTACAATCCTTAATATTATTGGAATTAACAACTAAATTAGTGCCACATAAGCATATGGCTAGCTCTCATTCATCCAATGTGGATAACCTCTAATAATAATTGTAATATTTTTTTTGCACTTTAATGCATCATTATTAGAAATAAAACATAAATTGAGTTAATAACAATGTTAAAGTTCCAATCAATGCAATCTTTGGTTTTCTTCTATCTCTTTGTTGAAAGCTTCTCTCTCTCAAAAAAAAAATCCAGCATTGAAAAGGCAAAAAAAAAAAAAGATCAAGTTCCGTAAAACAAACAAAACTCTCTTCTTATTTACTAAATTATTTTTTAGATTTCTAATATTTATCTTCTTTACTTTTTACACAATGATAAAAGAAGAAAATAATACTACATATGTGGTTTTGTTTGTTTGTCGATAATAGGGAGGGAGTTACATGAAGCAATGGTTAGATGGAAAATGATTGAGCAGTTGTAACATAATTTTGAGTTGTTGACGGGGAAAAATACATCGTATATTTGTGAACACAAAGCATTGTCAACTATTCCCCCTTGATGCACAACTAGTGATTGATCTCTCTTCCCCAACAATATGTGGTTGCCTACGATTAACTGACTGAGTTCTACTCTTCTGCCCATCATGTATCTCTTCCCATTATTTTCTTAATTTCTTCCATATTATGAAGGTGGGGTCGTAAGTTTTCCACTAGATTTTGTAAATGTATTTCTTCTTCATTTTCCAAGTAGTTTATTCTATACGAGGAGAAATCCATCTTGCGACAGCAAACCTCAACCCCAATAGATACCCGAAAACTCAGGAAAAGTTTAATACGAGCTTACAGCCTTGGCGGTGGCCACCAAGGGGTAACGCAAATGGGGTGACTGCCAAGGATCGATCAAGGACCTCCTAGACACAATCCTGCGCATTTACCACCTCTACCATCCCTTGGTGATTTCCAAGTATTTTTATATGATTCTCTCTCTTGCCTTATACTTTTATAAAAAAAGGTAACAGATATTTGGAAGGGTTAATTTATGGGATTTAGAGAATCTCTCTCTGGGTTGAACAATTGATCATTTTCCTTGGAGGCCAATCACAACATGATTCCTGGGATGCTAAATGGAAAACAGAGTTATGAGGGTTGTCATCTTGCCATACTCCATCAGAGGATGTTTGTTTATGTTTGTTATGTTCAAGAGCAACATGCTACTACCTAGCCATATAATGATGATACGATAAGTGAGTAGTATGTAGCAGTGGGGTTATAAATAGAAGGAAATATATGTGGGATTTTTAAAGGTGATGAAGAAAAAATGGTGGTGGTGATCTTTAGGTTGTCCGTGTCGATGTTCTTTATATTTCTACACATTTCCAATGATAATTGTTTATTTTCTTAGTGTTGATTTTGGCCTAACTATTTTCTTATCTACTATTGTTTGAAGTTGATTGATGCATCAAACCCGGTTCATGAATGGGGACTATGCAAGATAGAATGATCTGGGTTGTATTGAAGTTCACGACTTCCATCATTTATCTCTGCGAATATTAGATAAAAAAGCTTCAGTATGCAGCGCAAGAAATTTGTAGCTCTCTAATAAATATAAATTGTGTGTATAAGCGGTTTGGTTTGCTGAATTGTTCTATGTTTTTTTTTTTTTTGCAACTGATAGTTAGTTTTGTTGTTGGTTTTGTTAAATATTTTCAAGGTAAATTAAATGAGTAAGCTGAAGATAGACGATGGGGATGAAAATGTGGTTCCTCTCTCTTCCAAAAGTGTAAAGACAACTAATGTTGCATGATATACAAAAAAAAAATAGATTGTAATATTCTCCATGAGTCCGATAAGGAATCAACGTGATATAATTATTTTTATTTTTATAATTCTGACATCCAATACTTATGTCTTATGTAGCAGTTTCGATACCAAATTATAAATCAATAAACAAAAGGTCTACAAATAGTTAATTTAGAAAAATTAACTTTTTTTATGAATCGTTGGGATCTTATTCATCAAAAAGCGCTTTTGCTAGCAACACCGTTGCTAGCTAGGGTAGGTGTAAACCTTAACTGTAAAAACCAAGATTGTACCCTCTAAGACAGATTACTATGAACATTGCAAAAAAAAGGCTCACCCTATCACTTCCTAGCACATACACATTTTCGGATTTAATGGCAAACAACAGTTCCTGGAAACCACGAGCAGCACCTCCATACATTCGACGACAACGTTCCCTCCAGACCTGGCTTACCCACGATTGCCATATAAGTCTTCCTGCTTCAGCAACATCAGTCTGCTAGCTATTTTTCTTCAGTATCCATGAAACCATTTCCTCCCAAGTTTGAATTTGAGGAACCTGCATAGAGGCACTAAACAGCTCATCAAGAAGTTGCCTGGTGAAGGGACAGAGTACAAACAAGTGTTGTCTGCTCTCAACCCCTCCTCCACAAAACACACAATCCATCGAACCCAAATATCCCCATTTCTTCATTTTTTCTTTTGTTTGTATGCTTCCTCTAACTACCAACAAAGTAAGCAAACGATTGCTTGGTATTGCCTTACCTTTCCAGAGAAGTTTCCACCAATTCACCTTCTGCTGGGTAGGCCTGAGGAGCTGCCACACATTTTTAATAGAGAATCGAGGCATAGGCAGATTATCAAGCAGTAGGACACCCTCCCTGATCGAGATGAAGGAAGAGACCCTACTTCCGAGCTTCAGACTTTTAGACCAGTTCCAGGACCCTGATGTGCATGTGTAGGTAACTTTTTTAATAAATAAACGATAGATAAAAACATGTGAAACAATAACTTAAATAAGGTAATTAAGATTAACAATTCCATGCATATTATTATAATTTACATGAATTATAAATAAATAAGAATACAACAAACAAAGAACAATCAAGCAAAATTCACAGTCTAACGGGCGGGTATAAAGCTAGTTAATTTAAACTGAGTTGTACTGATATGAATAAACAAAAGTAAAAGTTTCGAACTGGAGTAGATTGGAAGAAGCCGAGAACATATCATACGATATAAGTGCACAATCACGAACATCTAAATAAATACTATTCCCAGAAACTCTACTGATATGTACATAGAAAGCCTTAGTACTACTAACCAGAAGGTTGGAGTAGAGGTGGAAGAAACTAAACAGCAGAACTTTGGATTGCCAAATGACCCTAAGAACTTGCTTTACCTTGTGAACCACCAAGAGAGCAGAAGACGAAGGTACAATTAGGTCAACAATACCTCAAAAACTCTTTTCTGATTATATTGTTATACATGTGATGATGAAAAGATATGGGTTGAAGCTCACGGATACGCAATTGAAGAGCATTCACATATCCTGCAAGTTGAAATTAAGATACTATCCAAAACTATAAGGTCGAAATAAAAACATGAAGCTTACTTATAGATCTCATTCTTTTGCGACTCCAGCAAATATCCATACAATTTTGAAAGGCTATCCAATGACCACCTCTACCAACAAACACAACTGAGCAATTCACTACAAAATTGAGAAGTTTTGGGGACAATAATAGGGGACAAGTAATTTGGTTTGTCTTCGGAAATTCAAAACTTAGTGGTACTAGGGACAATTTGATAATATCGTCCCCGGAGAAGGAAGAGGCCGGAAATCATATTGGGAGAATAAATTTAGTCTTCCCCTAAATCAAATAAAGAACCAGAATTAAATTTACAATCCCAAACAGCCGCCTGTTTTCTTTCTTCTTCTTTTACCCCTATGTTTTTGGAATTTGAATGTATATATTATTAGCCCATAAATGGTACACCGTCCACTGTTCTGGTCCCTAATGCAAAAGGAACAAAGAAACCCTATGTGTTTATGCTTCTCTTCCATTTATTAGTTTGGTTTTATTAATAAATTCACATTTATTAGTTTCTTTGGGTGGTGTGGAAGTTGAGAACTTGAGATTTTAAATGTTGTATTTAAACTTTACATGTCATGAGGAGAATTTTTCTTTAAAAAAAGAAACATAATATTTATTATTGAGCAAAATATGAGACCACAAAAATATTTTGTATGTATAATTGTTAATCTCAACTAAAAGTTAGATTGTTTTGAGAACGTAGAAATTTATTTTCCTCTTCTGATTTTTTGAGTGACCACCAAAATCATTCCACCTCCAAATAATATATTTATAAATTCATACATTGAAACAATCCATCTAATTAAAATACATAAACAAATTAAATACATCCATTTAAAATCTCTAACTTCCAAACATACCTTTTTATGTATTTGGTTTTGGATTTTCGCAATTCAATTTGGAATAGTATTTCTTTTCATTTGCTTTTATTGAAACATACCTTTTTATGTATTTGGTTTTGGGTTAATTACATGATTCGTCACTGAAATTACAAAAAACGTTCATGTTTGGTCACTGGAAATATTTAAATTTAATCTTGGTCACTCAAATTAATTAAATGGTTCAAGTTTGGTCACTCTCCGTCCATTTCCGTTAACTCTAGCTTACGTGGCAGTCAACTTTCATGGTTGACCGTTAAATATGTGACGTAAAAATTAAAAAATTATTAAAAAATAAAAAATAAACTTTTATATTTTCCACCTCATTATTACATTAAAAAATAAAAAAACTATTTTTTTCTCTACACACGCAAAACCTAATTTTTTTTCTGCAAGCGCGCCGACTCGTGGCTCCACTCCGCCTTCGACCTCAACGCCTGTTTCGATTCCGGGCGGGCGTTCCCTCGGTGGTGGTCTCTGGAGTTCGAGAGGCGGATCGATTCCATGCTCCGCTCTGCCATCGCCTGGAGCGACGGAACCCTCTCCGAGATTCGCTCCCGTCACTGCTCCGACCTATCCATCAATCTCGCCATCGCCTGGAGCGACGGAACCCTCCCGTACTGCTCCGACCTATCCATCAATCTCGCCGCCGAGAGGTAACAAAAGACGGTTTCTTTAAACCCTAGAAAATTGAATTTTCAATCAACAAAGAAGCCATTATTATTATTAATGAGATTTCCCCCATTCCTCTGTTGCTGCTGCTGAAGATTGTTGTTATGAAACTGCTGCTGCTTCTGTTGCTGCTGCTCGAGATTGTTGATCAAGAAGCAGAAATTGTTGTTCATGAAACCAGCTCCGGCGACACCGGGACGAACCCATTCTCCACCACCGGCCATTCTTGGGAGCCGTAGAACTGCGCTTGTATCGCTATTACCCGAAGCAAAGAAAAACAGAGCACCCCCAATGAATCAAGACGAACCTTTCTTTTCCCCTCTTTTCCTTTTCCGCCACTCGTTCGAAGCTGTTGGAGCGGATCTCGCCTCAACTCCAAAAATAAGAAACATATGTAAATCTCAACAGGGGCCTCAAAATCGAGTATAGAAACCGAATATAAAATCGAAAGCTACCATATTGATGATGGGGACACAGAGTGAGAGAAGAGATAGCGAGGGACAGGTCGGAGAAGTGATGGAAGGGAAAGAGATTTTGCCATTTTGTAATTTATATATGTACTGTGTGTGTTTATATATATATGGTGAAGTGATGGAAGGGAAGAGATTTTGGTATTTATATATCTATGGTGTGTGTTTGTATCAAGGTTGTCAACCCGCGGGTTGATCCACGGGTCGACCCAATTTGACCCTGACCCGGTGAGAAAAACGGGTCGCACGCACCCGCCGGGCCGACCGCTATTAGGTACCGGGTTGGAGGTCAAATTGTGTCATTTTTTTCTTTAGTTTGCGAAATGTACCTATTTTCCAATTTTTCTTTTCGCCTAACTCAATCTTTGGAATACTAAGTTGAACATTTGAATATTTATGTTATATAAGTGTGTGTGAATTTTCACTATATGTTGGATCTAAGTACGATATGTTATTTTGGTGTAATATTATATGTTATAACTCATATGTTAGATAAGATTTTATATAATTTATGAGGATAAGTGCAATATAATAACTTTTTCTATATTTCCGGGCCAAACCGGGCTAAAATGGTTGACCCATTAACCCTTGACCCACTAGCTCGACCGGGTCCGGGTCAACCCGCGGGTTGACAACCTTGGTTTATATAGTGTCTTGGGGTGTGTAGGAAAGAAAGTAATTTTTTTATTTTTCATTTTTAATAATTTTTTAATTGCCACATCACATATTTAACGGTCAACTATGAAAGTTGACTGCCACGTAAGCTAGAGTTAACGGAAATGGACGGAGAGTGACCAAACTTGAACCATTTAACTAATTTGAGTGACCAAGATTAGATTTAAATATTTTTAGTGACCAAACATGAACTTTTTTTGTAATTTCAATGACTAATCATACAATTAACCCATTTGGTTTTGGATTGTCGCAATTCTATTTGTAATAGTATTTCTTTTCATTGCTTTTATTGGACCGAGTATTCCTTTTCCTTTTTGGATTGGTGAGGATGTATTTTAAATAGAGGTTGCTGATATTGTCTGAGCCATTTATTCTAAAGCTTTCAATATAACTAGCTTTTTACCCGGCCTGTTGGCCGGAGAGTTTCATTTTATCGTTGACATTATTAAATTTATCTATATGTTAAACTATTTTAGACCTTCTAAATTTATTATATTTTGATAAGTGAGTATGTGGTGTGTCTATATATTGAAAATTCTCAATACTTAGCACATTCACTTATAATGTTTGAATTCTCTATTCATAAACCATGTCACAAAGGTATACCACGTCTCATGTACAATTTTTTCTATCTTATATGAATCCATGTTGTTCAGATCAGGACATCTTAGTTAGAGTTTCTTTGTACATATACTTCATTATTGGATAAATTTCTTCATAAAAATTAAAAGTTGACACTTTGGATGTTCATGAAGTTTACTGTAAGATCTTATTTGTATTTAGTCTCTTATACAATATGTATCAATTGCTAATTTCGGAAATTTAATTTGGACTAACTGAGACTCATTTTCGTTGTTTATATATTGTTTTAGAATCTCAATCCAAGATACTCACATACGGATTTTGATCTTAATATGGTGCGTTAGTGTACAACTTTACAACTTGTAGAACCTCCGTTTTCTAAAATTTATTTATGTTGGTATTTGTTTAGAAATAAAAATTTCATTACTTATACTAATATATGCATTTTTCTGTATTGCCACATTATTGTCAATATATAAGCATATATATTAAAAAGAGTTTAATTAATTTTAAGTGTAATTAATACTTGCTTTTTACTGGGATTTGTAAAATGTTAAGAAAATAAGGGGAAATATGAACAATTGTAAAAGAAAATAAGGGATGGAAGGACACATTATAAGTGAGAGAAAAGTTATTCTTACTTATTATTTTCATTTATCCAATGAGGTGATCTATTCTTGATCCATTGAATTTTTATCAAATTATTTTATTTCGTAAATATATTATTAGTTATGCATGTGTTTTATTGCAAAAAAAAAATTGCATGTGTTTGCTAAGAAAGATCATACCTCTTACGATGATCAACTTCTTTAATCTTGCCTCATTTTCATGTGAATGTTCATGAAGTCTCCTAACGATCTTATGTTAACATATGTCTATCAAGAGACCCAAATTTAGTATATTATATAACAGAGTAAATACATTTTATTAACCAAATCTTTCAAAAAAATTCAAAATACAAAGTATTAACCAAACTTTAACTCCCCGTTAGCATTTTTGTTAGTAATGTTGACTCAACAACATGAATGATGAGTTGGAAGAGACACGTGACGGTCTATAATCCAATTTAGTATTTTAATTAAGGCCAAATACACTTGTGTAGCCAAAACTTTGACGGTTTTGCCAAATATAGCCACTTTTGGTGAAATACCAAAAATAGCCACTTCCGTCCAATTGTTTGACGGTGTTAGTTAACGTGCTGACTGGACTAACGGAAAAACTGACATATCAACCTTTTAGTCAATAAAAATATGAGTTGGAATTAACTGAAAAATAAAAACAAAAAATAATCAAATATTTTTTATTTCCTCTCTCCACTCTCGGTTCTTTCCCCATCCGTTCCCCAACCGCCGCTCATCTTTCCCCTTCGTCGAGCTTGTGCAGGTTAGTGATTATTTATGTACTGCGATTGAATTGGGCGGACGGGCTAGGTCGAGCTTCTCTTGGTCTATTCCAATGTTTTGTGCCGCCAAGTTGGAATTCCATCCCGGTTCGGATTTAGGGTTTTCTAGCGCTGTTGTTGGAATCGCTAGAGTGGAATTCGGGTGGTGATGATGCCACCGAAGAGAAAGAAGTGGACGGAAGCAAAGGAGAAAACCCTAATCGCCAAGTACGGCGAGATGGTCTCCGATGGTACCCTTGCTAGGGTTTCACCGACATCTCGTCCATCACCAGCTGCTGAAGGTCTTCATCGAGCCGGCGTTTTGAAGGAGCCGCCTGCAAAAAAATCCCTCTGCCAAAAATGCCAATTCCAACTCTAGAATCTCCCCCATTTGAATCGATGTTGGTGTTGGTCATCATCAGATTTCTTCCGGGCCAGCCTCTCCACGACGCAAGGCGCTAGGATCTGCGCAGCCGTCGTCGCGGTCGTCGTCTCCTCCAGATCCTCCTCCGCGGCTGTCGATTCTCGATCTGGTGCTCGTCAATGACGATGCTCTGTTTCGTCTCCTCTAGCACGAAACAGACGGCGAAGCTCGTGTTCCTCCTTTGCTTCTATGGTCTCCGCTCCAGTCGACCGGATGGGCTACATCGCTTCTCCTGGGGTCCCAAAAATGGCAAGGGAGAGAGATGCACAATGGCGGGTTCTGGGCAATTTCGCCACCGCCGTCGAGTTCGTCACTCTACGGCATCGCTGTGAAAAATGGGAATCCTTTGGCTTCCCAATTTTTTATTCCTCATCTATCTCTATTCTTCCCCATCTATCTCCCATCTATCTCCATTTAGGGGTAAATCAGAAGCTTTCTGATCAGAAAATTTGGGAATTTATGATGATTGGAATACATGGGAAAAGGGGGTGAAGATGGCGAGGAGTTCGTGGACGATGAGATGGAGATGAAGGGAAGAATGGTGATGAAGGGAAGAAGACAGGGACAAAGGTTGATTATTGTACCTTTATGATTTTTCATTTTTTGTTTTCATTTATTTTTAAATTAAAATATGACATGGCATCCATTTGGCAAGTGTTGGTGAGTTGTCGATGATGTGTCCGGTGAGTTGGCAGCCAGGTAAGCTTTCCGTTAAATGGACTAACGGTGTCACTGACGCCGTTAAATTATGTAACGGAAATGGCTATATTTGTCATCAAACTTTCAAAATTCTGGCTATTATTGGTATTTCCCTAAAAGTGACTATTATTGTCACAAACGTCAAAGTTTTGGCTACACAAGTGAATTTGGCCTTTAATTAAAAAAGAGTTACAAAATTATTAATGATAATAAAAAAATGGTTAATATTTTGATGTCATACAGAATATTTGGCTAATCATATGTAGTTTGAAAGGTTTAGCTAATAATTTAAAAAACTGAAAGGTTTAGCTATTCAAATGTTATTTACTCAATATGTATCAATTGCGAATTGTCTCCTCCCACATTTTGTCACGGCCGCTATTGAAGATCTATACCAGATCTGCTCTGTGCAATCCTCGCCTTTGTCCACCAATTCACGACCCATATAGTAACATCGCCAGCTGAATTTTAAATTGTCCTCCTGCACCATTTCTCACATGTGCCATCAAATTGTTGACATTGTTAGTTTCGTCTACCCGGGTATCTCCACTCTCTATTGCATTTAACACTCGTTATTTGGTTTGCTTTCCTTCACTCAAAATTTCTTCTCCTAACGACAAATCAAAAGGTAATGGCCTAACACCTACTTAGCATATGACGTAAACTGAAAATTTACTTAATAAGATTTATTCAAATATTTTTGTTTAAACAATCGCGATACATGTCAGCTTCCAAACATTAGTATACTGCTCATAGCCTCATACACATATATACTACAAAAGGTACAAATGAATTATTAAATAAAAAGAAAACATTAAATAAAAATATAGATAGCTACATAAATTGAGCATTAACTTACTTTTGTGTTTGCAAAAAAAGTGTCAACCATGATAATTTGTAAATTCTTCAAGTGCTTATGTGGCAACAAACTATTGTTGAATTGCCATAGGTCAGTGGTTGATGAACACATGATGTTTAACATATAGTTTAACAAAAATTCATCTAACT